TATCATGCTGTTTCGATTACTATAGCATTGCAATGTATTTTGAAATCTGGTAGTTTGATACCTCCAGCTTTGTTATTTTTATTGAAGATTGCTTTGTCTATCCTTTGTGACTCCATATGAATTTTAAGAATTTTTTTCTATTTCTGTGAAGAACTACATTGGACTTTTGATAGAGATTACATTAAATCTATAGATCATTGTGGGTAATATGGACATTTTAACAATTCTTCTAACTCAAGAATGTGGGATATCCTTTCATTTATTTGTGTCATCTTTGATTTTTTTATTAATGTTTTAAACTTTTTATTATTCAGATCTTTCACTTATAATTTGGTTAAATTTAGTCCTAAGTATTTTTTTATCCTATTATTAATGGGATTATTTTCTTCTTTTTCAGACAGTTCATTGATACTGCATAGAAACTACTGATTTTTTATTTTGCATCCTACAACTTTACTGAACTTACTGGTTTAAACTATTTTTGGTAGATTCTTTAGGATTTTCTATATATATATAAATAAAATCATGACATCAACAAATGGATACAATTTCACTTCATCTTTTCCTGTTTGGATGCTTTTTATTTCTTTCCCTTGCCTAATTGATCCGGTGGCTAGGATTTTCAGGGCTAGTGCCATTTTGTTCACTGTTTTCTATAGAGCAATTATATTTTAGGTCTTCTGTTCTTTTTTTCCTTTTGTGTTCTTCCTTTGTGGTTTGATAGTTCCCTCTAGTAGTATGCTTTATAACCTTTCTTTTTACCTTTTGTGTATCTCTTATAGGACTTTGCTTTGTGGTTACCCTGAGGCTTACATAAAATACCTTACACTTAAAACTGGCTATTTTAAATTGATAACCTAATGTTGATCACATACACAAACTATGCATTTACTCTTCTACTTCCCACATTGTATGTTTTTAATGTCCTACTTTATATTTTTTTGGTATATAATCACTTGAAAAATTATTAAAGCTGTAGTTTTATTTTAATAATTTTGCCTTTTATCCTTTATACGAGAGGTATAATTGTTTACCAAGCATTTTTTTATTTTAGAGTGTATTGGATTTGACTGTATACTTGCTTTTATACTTCAAGTTTTATACTTTCATGTATTTTAATATTACTAATTCATGTTCTCTTCTTCTGCTTGAAGAACTCCCTTTGGCATTTCTTTTAAGACAAGTCTAGTGGTGATAAGCTCTCTCAGTTTTTGTTTGTCTGAGTAAGTCTTTATTACCTCTTCATTTTCAAAAGACAAGATTGCTGGGAGTAGTATTATTGGTTGACAGAACAACCCCCATCCCCCTTAAGGATTTTGAATATATCATTTAACTCCCTTCTGGTCTGCAATATTTCTGCTGAGAAATACACTGATAGTCTTATGGAGATTCCTTTACATGTGACAATTCACTTTTTTCTTGCTCCTTTCAGCACTCTTTAAATTTTGACAATTTGACTATGATGTGTCTTGGTGTGGGTTTCTTTTGGATTTATCTTATTTGATTTATCTTGGGCTTCTTGGATTTGCTTTCTATTTCCTTCCACAGGCTGAGGATGTTTTCTGCCATTATTTCTTCAAGTATATTTATTGTTCTTTTTTCTCTCTCTCGTTCTTCTAGTACAGCAATAATGTGTAAGTTGTTATACTTCATGGTGTCCCGTTAGTCTCTTAAGCTGTCCTAATTTTTTTCCCCCTTGTCAGATATTGCTGAAGGATTGAGTAATAAAAGGACTGGGAATTGACCAGTGAGTTTTGCCATGTAGTTCCCATGGGTTATCATGTTTGATAGAGTGATAAGGGCTAGCAGACTTCTCTCTTATCTCTTTTACTATGATGATCATGTGTAGATGCCATGGGCAATCATGTTTGATGGAGTGATAAGGGCTAGCAAACTTTTATCTCTATTATTGCAATAATCCCTTGCTATCTCTTGGCTTTCCTCCTTGCCTTTCCACAGTTTATTCTCAACACACTCAGCATGGTGACTTTTTAACATAGATAGATTATATCAATCCTCAGCCCCAAATCGTTCCCATTTTATGTTGATAAAAATCAAGGACTTTACATTGACTTAATAAAGCTCTACACAAATCTAACACTCACAGTTTACTCTGATTTTTCCTACTTCTCCTACTAATTTTTCATTTTGCTCTAGCAACTTATCTCCTAAAGCTCTTTTCCAGTGCCTGGAGCCATATAACATTGTCACTATTTTACTGTAGTCTGTTCTCTGAAACACCCCAGGTATCCATATATGTGGCTAATTCTGTCAACTTCTTTCAGGTCTTTGTCTACTTTATTACTTTACCGATGTAGCCTACTGTAGCTATCTTATTTGAAGTTGAAACATCCACCCAACCAACATTTTTTATCATCCTTTCTCTATTAATCTTTTTTAGCATTTACCACCTTTTTCACATTCTAATTTATATATTCATTTTAAAAAACTTTTTTGTCAAGTGTGTATTATCCTTCATTTGACTGTTAACCCCATGAAGTCGGGGGCTTATATGTTCTTTGCTGATATATACTAAGTGTTAGAATATTTCCTAGTACATGGTATATGATCAGGAAACATTGATTGAGTTTTCCTTGTCATTAGCTTCTAAATGCAGCTTATAAAAGCATCAAATGTATGTTTGAGCTAATAAATATTACATGTTTGCTTTTTTCAAAAGCTACTACCTCTTGCAATCATTTCCAAGTAGGAAAGCACTATTTTGTAGGAGTTAGGTGATGTTAACTCAGCCTAATAATTAGCTTCTTGCTTCTCCAGTTATTTAGTTTTTCCTGATTACTTATAGGCTTAAGGGAAACTCAGTAAATACCTGTTGTCTACTCTGTTGCAAACACTGCCAGTGGCTGTGATTCATAGACCTCCTCTAGAAGGAGAGATTCACAAGTATGTCAGTGTTTATAACAAAGTATGACTGGATGATGTTAGAAATAAATGCACAGGATTTTGGATTCACATAGAAAAGAACACTTGCCATCTATAATAGTCTATTGTAGATTGAACACCCTGTCCTCTTTCTGATATCTCTGTGAATATCAAATGTCCTACTTACAGCCAGGGCTAAAGAACTGCAAAAATGATCCAAAGTCAATTCTTTTTCTGTCCCACCTGCAGCTTGCATTGATCCTCTATTGTTCTTAATCAATCTTGCTAAATGCTTCCTGTAGGGAAAATGAGTAGTGATGAGAAGTAATCTTGCTGTTACTTTCTTCTGAAAAATTTAATGATTGATTTACATATATTGCTTATTCATCACGATATCCCATTGTAGATGATGGGGATTAAATTTCAGTCTTAAAGGTTATGGGATCCCTCAAGGCTTAGCTTATAGTAATGAAAAATTGAGAACTGAAAAAAGGGATTTCAGATTCTGTATAGTGAATAAACTTTTATCAGGCCTTGCTTCCAATATGCATTTAGGATTATGTGGCTAGGAATATGCTGTGAACTTTTTACTGCAGCTTTAGAACTTTCTCTGTATTCCATATACAACTTATTTTTTATGTATTTTTCTTCAGTTTAAAGCAAATTCTCTGGTTTTCCTGAAGTCATAAATAATCTATGGGCCTTTCCTTACTGGTCTGTAGAGGCCCTCTTAAAAAGGCCTCCTAAATATAAATAGAAATCATTTACCTAACTTGATATCACAAAGAGAAGCCATCCCTTTGTTAAGTCTATGTCTAATTGATTGCAAGTTAACTCTCTGAATATTAACAGATGTCCCTGGCATTGCCTGTGTATTTGGAGTAATACATAATTCCCAGAGTATATGGTCTTTCTGAGCCAGAAAACCTAATTCTTCAAATTCTGGAAAGATCCTTTAGATTTATGGTTTGCCTGGTTTCTTTACTTTTTAATTTTTTAATATATACTAGGTGTATATATTTCTAGGAAACATACAGATATTTTGGTACGGGCATGCAATGTGTAGTAATCACATCATGGAAAATAGGGCATCCGTCCCCTTAAGCATTTATCCTTTGTGTTACAAACAATCCAGTTATACTCTTTTAATTATTTGTTTGCCTGTCTTAAAATATTTTAAGCTTAATGTGAAGCATGTTACCCATAGTAAAAATTCCCATTCTTCCTACATTCTGATAAGCGCAGAGATAGGAAGGAAACTCATTTCAGAATTTGATTATTCACTGTAATTTACTTTCAGTGTTGTCATGAAACCCTATTTTGATGTATACATTCCCACAGTATGGCAATTAATCTATTACTTCCTTAGGCTAATGAGTCTTTTCTTGCAATGTCTTCATTTATTCATTCATCAAACTTTTGAGCATCTTGGATGAAAAGCACTGTGCAAAATCCCAGGTATAACCATTGAACCAGAGAAACACACATTTGGCTTCATAACCTGGTACAACTTACTAATTTCTCTAGGAATTGAATAGGGTCTACTGGTGCTTGGTTAACAGGTTATTATTCTAAAGCCATGCTGTTTTTATGAATCACACATTATCTAAGCCTTTTTAATATATTATTTTAAAACATAAACACCAATATTCTGTATTTTTACTTCTCTTTTATACTAGATAGAATGGTTATTACTGTCAGTTTTACTATATATTTTTATGCAATATTTTAATTAAGATCTTTCATCTTTTCTTTCTCATGATTAATATATCAGCTTTGCTGATAATTGTAAATCAGAGAAGATTTCCACATGAAAAGGAACACGTAAACAGAGTTTTAAAAGAAGAGATGGCTAATTTTCTAAGTGAATAGACAAATGGGAAAAAACTTATAATATGTACTTAAAAGCATTGGTTTTCACACCGGGCACTGTCACTTGTTAATTATGTGACCTTGAACTGGCAGCTTAATTTCCTTATCTGAAGACTGGAAATGTATCTGTTTATTGCTTATCAAATGAGATAATAGTATTGAAAGCTCTATTTAGGTGTTTGATACTGTTTAATTATTTAAAACTTTTAAGATATGTGACTCCCAATTTTACCTGCCTTGCTTAGGTTGACATGATCGTGACGCTGGGAGGCCTTGCTGGGCGTTTTGACCAGATTATGGCATCTGTGAATACCCTGTTCCAAGCGACTCACATCACTCTTTTTCCAATTATAATAATCCAAGAGGAATCTCTGATCTACCTGCTCCAACCAGTAAGTCAAAGCGAATCTAATGTGATCCCTTTCCTTCACAAAGCTTCTAACACTAGAGTAGAGGGAAACATTGAGTAGAAACACTTGAGTAGAAGGAAACACTCCTCACTAGGAGGAAACATTGGCCCTGCTTGGGTCTGAACTGTGAGTGGAATTGAACATGTGTGCTTTCTTGTGGCCACTTTAATTTTCTGTCTCTGGTTGCTGACCAGCAAAAATGTGGAGGAGAAGCCTGAAAGTTTTCAGTTTATCATGCCTAGAAAACAAGAGAAAATGTTGTAACTTTAAATTGACTAAGAATTAAATTGAGCACTTTAGTGTTTTGAACAGCTGAATTTGTGAATGACGTGTGAGAACAACTTCAGCGGAAAACACAAGGCTTGGCAAATGTTGCTAACGTAATTCTTATATATTTTGACTGTTGTCATTATAATTGGATATAATTGGAAACTGGGTTTGATTTTGTTAAGCACTTAGAAGAAAATCTTTAGCTTTTACTATTCATAAGCTGCCTGGTGATTGGTTTCTCTGTCTCAGAATAATTTCTAATGATGAAGTCATTCATTTCCAATGATAAACATTAAGGACATTTTCTTTTGTTTTTTTCATGATCTTTTTTTTTTTGTACTTTATGTTCTGGGGTACATGTGCAGATCATGCAGGATTGCTGCATAGGTACACACATGGCAATGTGGTTTGCTGTCTCCCTTCCCCCATCACCCACATCTGGCATTGCTCCCCTTTTCATCCCTCCCTGACCTCCCCACCCCACCAACTGTCCTTCCCTTGGCCCCTCCCAACAGACCCCAGTGTGTGATGCTCCCCTCCCTGCGTCCATGTGTTCTCATTGTTCAGCAACTGCCTGTGAGTGAGAACATGCGCTGTTTGATTTTCTGTTCTTGTGTCAGTTTGCTGACAATGATGGTTTCCAGATTCATCCATGTCCCTACAAAGCACACAAACTCATCATTTTTTATGGCTGCATAGTGTTCCATGGTATACATGTGCAACATTTTCCTTGTCCAGTCTATCGTCAATGGGCATTTGGGTTGGTTCATAAGGATGAAGTTGGTGACAATAGCAAAGGTTGGTCTTTGCTATTGTAGACAGTGCTGCTATGAACATACATGTGCATATGTCTTTATAATAGAACGATTTATAATCCTTTGGATATATACCCAGTAATGGGATTGCTGGGTTAAATGGAATTTCTATTTCTAGGTCCTTGAGGAAGCGCCACACTGTCTTCCACAATGGTTCAACTAGTTTACACTCCCACCAATAATGTAAAAGCGTTCCTGTTTCTCCACATCCTCTCCAGCATCTGTTGCCTCCAGATTTTTTTAATGATCACCATTCTAACTGGCATGAGATAGTATCTCAATGTGGTTTTGATTTGCATTTCTCTAATGACCAGTGATGATGAGCATTTTTTCGTATGTTTCTTTGCCTCATATGTGTCTTCTTTTGAACAGTGTCTGTCAGTTCATATCCTTAGCCCACTTTTGAATGGGTTTGTTTCTTTTTTTCCTGTAAATCTGTTTTAGATCTTTTTAGATTCTGGATGTTAGCCCTTTGTCAGATGGGTAGCTTGCAAAAATTTTTCCCATTCTGTTGGTTGCCAGTTCACTCTAATGATGGTTTCTTTTGCTGTACAGAAGCTCTGGAGTTTGATTAGGTCTCATTTGTCTATTTTGGCTTTTGTTGCCAATGCTTTTGGTGTTTTAGTCATGAAGTACTTGCTTATGCCTAAGGACATTTTCTATCAATGTAGCGCATAGAACAGAATTCTTACTAAACAAACGAATTTTATGAGGTTTACTGGATTTCAGTTTAAAAATATCATTTGGTAACTTCTTTGTAAAGATAGTGGACAGTTCTTTCCATTTTCGCTCTCATTGTAGTGTACTACTGACATTTTGCTTCTACCCTGTCACTACCCACCATCTGCAGCATGGCATTACTAGAAATTGTGGTTTGGTTAATGCACGGGGTCAGGGGGAGGTCAATGCATGCTCAATATTCTTTATCCAGTTTTGCATTTTTTTACTGGATCTTTGCATGTCCTAGCCATGTTGCTTTCTGGAAAAATATGGAAGGGGAGGAGAAGAATTCAGATTTCAAACTATACTATCCATTTATTTGGTCAACAGTTATAAACTGCCTTCTACGTATTTGTTGCACTACATGGCAATTAAGGATAAAAATAAATGGTTGTATATTATCTTTGCTCTTCAGATTAAGTGCAATGAAGGAGACATTTATAAAAATGTAATCACCATGCAGTGTTCAAAGATTGGTACCAAAAAATGAAAGAATAGAAAACTGGGGCACATTTCATTCACTCAGTTAGTTCAACAAATAATTCCTGGGTACTTGCTATTTGCCACGCTCCTTTCTAGGAATAGAGCAGTTAACAATATAAACAGAAATCCTTCCTTTCATGCAACATACCTGCTACTGAGCTTACAGTTCAGCAGAATCTTCAATGATGAGTAGATGCTTGCTATGGATGACGATGGGAAAGTTATTCAAGTCAAGAGGAGCCAGCAAAGAAATACAGAGTTGCAGGATATGTTGGGAGTTACAGGTAACTCTGTGCAGATAAAATATGGGGTGTGGTATGGAAAATGCCAGAAGATAGGACTAGAAAACTAATTGGGATACTGATGTGAAGAGCCTTAAATTCCACACAGTGGAATGTGAACTTCTTTTTGCCACAGGTTTTGGAAAGTCATTAAAAGATTTTAGTTAGCAGTGTGAGGTGCACAGATATGCTGTTTAGATTTGTTATCAAATTATATGTTTGTTAAATATCCATAGATTCCCAACAATTTCTGAAGTTTGAAACTTACTGCTATTGTGAAGCATTGAGTTTTGTTATATTGCATTGAATTGATGGTATGACAGCTAAAGTATTCAATTGCAGCTTGTCTCTTTATAGATGCTCTGGTTAATATATTACTAGTTAAAGATGCAGTACGATACTTTTTAAAAGCATAATTGGCAGATTCGCTGATAGAAAAAGCCACATCTAAAATATGACTTCTGCATTAAGGTATTTTACTGTTTGGGGTTTCTGTATTTTCCTTATAATTGGTATAATTATGAGCTTTCTGAAATGCATTTGGCTTGGGATCCATTGGATTTCCTTCCATCTATAGATTGCTGTCTGTCATCAGTTCTGGAAAACTCTCAACCATTACGTTTCAAATATTAGAATTATTCTGGACTATAAAGTCAGTTTGATAATTATGTTTTGAGAAAGAGTACCTTGAAAATGTGAGTAAAGGGCAAGCATGTAATAAAGAAGAATCATGGCAAGAATTAAAAATGCAGAGGGTGGGTCTAGCAGCAGAGAGGTATAGCTGAAGTGGGACAGTGGATAGAACACAGAGGTGGTGAAGAACTTCAGAATGCAGCCCAGAGAGATTAAGACATAGGAAATATGAAAGTGCTGAGATGTATATGATACAAGGAGAGGATATTAAATACATTTAATTTGAGGTACAGAAGAAATAAGAAAAAGAATAGGGCAAGTAAGCCAGCTGCCTTTTATGTTCACTTTTGCTTCATAGTTCATGACCTTAATTCCTTCTGTGTTTTATGATTTTTGGCCAGGACCTGACGTTTCTGAGAACTTTAAGTGTGGGAATTATTTGAGGCATGGGTTAAAAGTAAATCCAAGGAGAATTTACATTTGCTTTTTCCTGGCTGCTGAGTGAACTTCTAGCCCAGTTCTGTGGGAACAGTAACTACTCAGGACACTTTGAGACTTTTTTGGACCACATTTGTCAGTGTAGATTCTGAATGTAATTCTGCTGGGAATTTGATGTCTGGTTACAAATTCTCAGGGGAGACTTTTTTCATCTCCTCAGCAATGGAATGCCAAGGTTTGGTTGGCCACTTTTTCTGGCAGTCCAGTGGGAGTGCTGTTTATGTTCATCTTGATATTTAGGAGCTCTGCTTTATGTGGTACAGCCTCCTTGTAGATGTCCACCGTGGCAGGCCTTGGGCCTTTTCTTCTAATAACCTTCCTTACTTGGAGGCTTTAGAAACTGAAGATCAAGTTCATCTGTTTTGCTAAACACTGTCCAGATGAAAGTTAGCTTTGGACCTTCTTTTTATATCAAAACACAGTTTTTGGCTTCTGGGAATAATTTTTTTTTTTTTTTCGAGACAGAGTCTCCCTCTGTCACCCTGGATGTACTGCCGTGGCATGATCTCAGCTCACTGCAACCTCTGCCTCCGAGAATTCTTTTTTCTAAACAGATACATTTGATGCATTTTAGGAGAGTCTCTTATTTTTATTTTTATTTTTTGGTATTTTTATTGTTTTCAGTTGGCCAGGGCACTAATCTATCATATTGCCTCTGTACCTCAGTTCCTCCTGCATCTGTGTTACAGTAATGATCAGCCCCAGATAGGAGAGGCTTATCTGAGATTAGGTTTATTAAGTTTTTTTCTTATTAATGGAAAATCTGATGTGGCTTGAGTAGCATTTCACATTTTATATCTAAGCTAACTGGAACACATTGCTGAAGCAGGTGAAACTGATTGCTAGGATGTGGCACCAAGTTTTTTAAAGGCCAAGTCTGCACATGACATGTGTTACCTTCAGCGGGAATGCCTCAGCCCAACTTCAAAGACAGTCTAGGATATGAAGCTTGTGGGCCCAGGAAGAAGAGACACTGGGCAATACAAAGGCCATCTCTCTCAAACTGCCAGATGTGGGTATCTTGAAAGAAATTCTGGAATCATGACCCTACATAACTTACAGGAATGTAACATACAATGTGTTAGGTAGTTATTAAGGCAGAGTCCCCAGTTCTCCAAAGTGGTGAAGATGTTAAGGGTATCTGTGTAGCCACATCTCCAAATATAATGCACTGTAGATTCTCTCTGTGATAATTTTGATTTTGTATCATTGGAATAACTACAGAATTGCCTTATCCTAATGAAATAATTATTACATAGTGTGGTGCAAAAAGCTCATGCAA